AAAAATAGTACTACCAAATAAGAAAGATTTAAAGTTCTAGAAAGTAAGGTTTGTCTGAGATAGACTGCTTAATGTGTAGATATCCAGTCCTCACCAGTCTTGGACCAGCCAATTTGATTTCTTGTTAAAGAATATAAAATAAATTTACTGTCTGAATAGGTTGATAATGGTCTAAGCATTCAGATTTTATACTGGAGTTTTGAAATAAAACAATAATCTTCCTAGAAGTACTCTTACTGGCTTCCTAGAAAACTTTATCAGTTACTGGGGAGTTTATCTCCTACCATCTCATTTTCAAAAGTCCTAAGCCCTGAAGTTCTTCCCAGTGGCTGGCATCCTGGGAATTCACTTGATCTGCTGGGCAGAGACATTTCAAACTCGGGGAACACATGATGGGAATTTAGTTTTATGTGTCCCAAAGATATGTAATTCTCTTTGGAGATTTTACTTGATAATAGCTATGCCCCAGAAAACCATCTTGTTTAACCAATGTGATAAGTTGACAATGTAGTTTTTCTTTCTGATTATAATGTACTCTGTGTAGTCAATACACTGGTACCATGTGAGTGTAATTTCCTCTTTTATTTTATCTCCAATGCACTGTATTATAAATAAACAGTTAAAAAAAACACCAAACAAATCTGTTGCATCTCCTTTTAAGATTGTACCACTGTAGACACTTGTTCTAGTAAAGTAGAATTGGGCGCATTTGATTGCATTTAAATTTTTCATGCTTCAGCAGTTTGGCTGGGAGCACAGTAAAGAAAAATCCCATGAGCGAGGATAGTTTAGAATAATAGAACTTGATTTTGTGTATTATAGCGGCAACATTTGTGCTGCTTTAGTTAGGGTTGTGTCAGCACTTCCATTATAAACCCCTGTTTTCAGGGGGTATATAGCTAGGGAGTTTTTTTTTTAATACAAATTAAAAAAACAATTCATTTGAATGATTTTTAAGTTATAATAGTGCAAAAATAAAACAAAGTTAAGTCACATAGAAATTGATCATTTTCACAAAGATTTTAATTCTTTTGCTTATTAGTTGTATATGAAAGTGAAAGTGAAAGTCAGTCAGTCATGTCTGACTCTTTGCGACCCTGTGGGCTATACAGTCTGTAGCATTCTCCAGGCCAGAATACTGGAGTGGGTAGCCTTTCCCTTCTCCAGGGGATCTTCCCGACCCAGGGATCAAACCCACATCTCCGGCATTGCAGGCGGATTCTTTACCAGCTGAGCCACAAGGGAAGCCCATTAGTTGTATATGGGCAGCAGCTAAAGTAAGATACTATTCTAATACACTGTGGGGGTGGAAGTTTTTGTAATGGAAAATTACTGATATGAGGATTCAAAATAAAAACCATCATCCCATGTGATATTTTAGATCATTAAAGCAAGTGTATATTTGATCTATGAGTTTCTAAAGAAGAGTAGCCATGGTGCAATGATTATTGTGAAGGCATTACCAAAAGCAAAGTATCTCTGCAGCTTCCTAAATACAGTTTAGTTGATCTAGTGAAAGGGAAAGCTAAAGTAAAGAACTAAAATAAATGAGAATGTAATCAGAAAATTGAAGAATTCTGTAACAAAATACTTGTGCAAAAGTAATCAGTAAATTGAATCTGAGACATTTAATCTAAGTAAATCTAAGACATTTAATAAACTTAATTAAAAAGAATTTGTGCACATTTTCCTTTTAAAAATGCAACAAAATCACCATCTAAAACAAAAAGCTTTAACGAAACTATCAGTAAAAGCCAAACCTGAAACAGGCCCAACAATTTTATCAAAAGGAAGTGTCTACAGTGAGGCAATATCTAGCTAAAAGAACAAGAATCACCTTTTTTCTCTGCTAACAACATATTAAGAACTACAGAAACACAATAAATTAAATAAAATGTGATTTGGAAAAGTATTCTTGGAACAAAAAATGTTAATTTCTTTCCTAAAGGGAGGGATTTTGAAGTTGAGTAAGCCTTTCTCAGTTGTTAACTATTATGGTCTATCCATTTCTCCTTGTCCCTTAATGAGATTGTGAACTGAGGATGAACAGTCAGATTTAATATTGCTTTTTGTTGGCAGCCTATATTATATTTGCAACCCTGATACACATTTGTATTTGTAGGTGCAAAATAAAACACAGATTGTGTGATGTTATAAATTGGTAGCTTTCCTGAATGGTCACTGGAGGAATCACCAGAAGACTGTTGATGAAGTAGAGGTGAAGCCTTTCCTCACTAATTGTATTCAGCGTGTAATTTCTAAACTTCCCTCTGAATTTTGATTTTCAATTAACACTCCCCATTTGAAGATAATTTTCTATTTAATGTAATTGCAGGAAATAATTTATTGGCTGATTAAGACTGAGGGCCCAGCCTTCCTTAAGAAAACACTCTAACAAACCAGCCTTTAAACTCAACCCATGGCTTTGGACAGATTTCGTCTATTTTTACAGCTGCATGGTTGTGTTTAATTAGGATTGTGCACTATTGTTCATTGGTGCAGTTTATAGTTGAAATTATTCTTAAGAGACTTTTCATTTTGGGTTTTGTGTTGTGATTAATTTATACTAAACCAACAATCACAGATATTGCTATTGGAAGGAGCCAAGTCACTTTGTAATAAGAGGATGTTTATTGGGGAACTAAAGTCACTCTGAGTTTTGGATTATGACTTTCAATTGTATTTAGCTGTTTTAAAAAGCAGCAGTAAATTCATTCTTTTGTCTTTAATGTGAATGATTACATTATTGGTACTGTTATTATCTGAACTATGAAAGCACTCTTGTTAATGGCAAGCTCTTAATAAACTTGCAGAACAGTTATAATTTTCCTGGTTTTACTATAGTGATTATGAGGCTAGTGAAATAAGTTCTAGATGATTCCTGTATACTGAGAAACATCCTGCAGTATCATTTTCTGTAAGTTTATATACATTTCTCCATTTGTGAGTATTGAAAGAAATTAGTCAAGGATAGTCTTAACTAATTCTTTGATATAGTACTCTTTAGAACATTTCATTTTTTTCTCCTCAAAGAAAACATAGATATACTTCTGTACTTTCTTTTCTCCATATTATTTTTTAGTATCAATTCTAATAGATTATTTTTTTACCATTTATAGAATGATTAATAAAGTAGGTATCAGCATTTTAATATGTTTCAAAGCACTTCAAAAGCCTGTAATACTTTTATTTAGAACTGTGCATAATTAGATTAGCTGATCTTATATTAATTTTTTTCACTGTAGGATACTAAATCTGAGCCCCCTCATTAATTGTGAGAAATTTAGCATTAGCTGTTAAATCCTATGTGAAACATGGGCTGCTACATAAAAACTACTGTTTAAATTGGAATTAACTTAATTATTTTTCTTTGCACTTGATATTTCCTTCACTGCAATATTCATGAAAGCATGTGACAGATTTGTAAATTTAACTGTTAATCTCAGATTTCTAGACCCTTTAATCAGTATTTATTTGTCTGTAGAAACAGTACTAGCAAGTTAATGATTTGCTAATTTGAAAAATGCTCATGTGGTTTCCTATGTTAACTGATTTGTGCATTTTTAAAAAAATGGTATGAAATCAATTAATGTTAAAGAGCAATTAAGGTGGAGATTTTATTCCTTTCGTTACACAGCAATTTTAGAGCTAAATAAGCTATAAAACAAAAACATCGTAAAGTTTTAGAAAAATATTCAGTTGCCTCTTCTTTTAAGTTATTAACTTTTAGTGACTTTATTTCTAGGCATAATAGCTGAGAAAATCATCTTGATAAAGAAATATTTTAAAAGATTTGAAATTCTGTATAATAATCACGATTTGTTATTGTATATGAAAGTACAGAAAGAAGACCTTGTGCTGATTGTAGTTGATATTTACTTGTAGATACATAGAGAATGTTCAGTAATTGTTTTTGGAGTTTTGAAAATATTATGTGTAGTAGCCACTTTACTGGGCTTCTCAGATGGTGCTAGTGGTAAAGAATACCACCTGCCAATGCAGGAGATGCCTGACACAAGGGTTTGGTCCCTGAGTAGAAAAGATCCCCTGGAGGAGGACATGGCAATCCACTCTAGTATTCTTGGCGTGGAGAATCCCATGGACAGAGGAGCCTGGTGGGCTACAATCTGTGGGGTTGTAAAGAGTCAGACATGACTGAAACGACTTAGCATGCAAGCACTCAGGCATTTTACTATGTTCATAGTAAATGCTTTGAATCTTATATATACTTTCTAATATAAAACAGAGGCATGGTTATTTCATGTACTCAATTAAGATGTCACAAAATTGCCTTAAGACTAATCTAGCACCATCAGCCACTCAATCAATATGTCACTTAAAAGTTTAGTTATAGCAGTTGAGACACCTTGAAGGTCTTTACAAAAAGATTAGATTGGCACTAGTCAGTGTTAGATCTAGTACTCATTAACATAAGGTGTAAACTAAAGATGTCTGGACCAAGTTTGTTTAGGATTTCCATCATAGATTACTTACTCTCCTGATTATATTTTCTTACATAGACTTCCTTTGTTTCTATGTAAAGCATAAGAGAAATTTGGATGCTTGTAAATTCATCCTCCCAACTGGTTCATCTGCTGTTTATCTTTCCATTCTTGTTTTCATTTTTTCTATTCATTTTTTTTTTTTTTTGCTAGCCATCAACTGAATTACTCTTAATAATCTAGTTGGGAGAACTGAGAGGAAAAATGCACACATACATATAGTATACATTATGAAAACTCATCCCATAATAATTTCATTTGTGGATTGGTAAAGAAGAAAATGTACAGCAATTACTGGGAAATTTGCTGAGTTAAAAGCGAAGAGGAAAGTGGAACAGATAAGCTAAGCATTCTTTGTCAGTGATTTAGATTAGATCATAAATATTTCTGAAGTTAGAGAACTTTCCTTTTTTTCTGAATTAGTCAAATATAAGTGATGGTTTATTCTTTTGTCATTGACAGTCCTTTTAAAAATCCATGCTGTTCCTTGTTTTGTAGAAGAATGTCTTCCAAGCAAGCCACCTCTCCATTTGCCTGTACAGCTGATGGAGAGGAAGCAATGACCCAAGATTTGACCTCAAGGGAAAAGGAAGAGGGCAGTGATCAACATGTGGCCTCCCATCTGCCTCTGCACCCCATAATGCACAACAAACCTCACTCTGAGGAGCTACCAACACTTGTCAATACCATTCAACAGGATGCTGACTGGGACAGTGTTCTGTCGTCTCAGCAAAGAATGGTGAGCTTTTAAAATCTGGCCACTGTCCCTAAATGTGTCTGTTATTATGGGCTCATTACAAATATGTGTTTTAGAGAAAGCTCAAAATCTGCAGCATTAGAGTTATTTGTGTTCAGGCCCTGGTGGCTCAGATGGTAAAGAATCCACCTTCAGTGAGGGAGACCTGGGTTTGATTCCTGGGTTGGGAAGATCCCCTGGAGGAGAGCATGGCAACCCACTCCAGTATTCTTGCCTGGAGAATCCCCATGGAAAGAGAAGCCTGGTGGGCTACAGTCCAGGGGGTCACAAAGAGTCGGACATGACTGAGTGACTAAGCACAGCACAGCACATGAAAACAGCCACCATGTCTATTATTAATATACTACTAGTTAGTGGGAAAAATTGAAAAATGATTTGTGGTTTAGTTTTTGTCCATTATTATGTCGACTTGCCAAAAGGGATTTAGTTTAATTTTGAGGAATATTTGGTTATCTTATTCTCTGTTCTCTGTGTTTAAGATAGTGAACTTAATAATAACACAAAATAGGTATGATCCAATAAAGTGTGGCTGTGTATTAATATGGAAAAATTATAATAAGCAAACATATCTATGTGAATGAGGTCATAGGGTGAATACAGCTTCAGTAAGGAAATGCAAGTATTTATCATTTTTAACTGTCATTCTTGATTAATAATAAAGCTTTTCTCACTTAGATGCCTACATATTAATTTCAAAAGGACATGCAAAGTTCCTGAGTATCATTCAGTCAGACTGCAGGAGTTTGCCCTAAAGGTAGAAACAGCATCAAATACATGCAATGTATTAGCCTACTTTCTCGTGTTAAATTCTACCTGTAACCATTAAAATAGGCACCATAGTAAGTGACATTACTTATCTAGTTTAAAGCAAAAGTATTCAATTTTTTTAGCGTTTATAACTGACTGAAATCTTAACATATTTTATTAGATTAGGAATTTTAAACCCTGTTTTACATGTCTTAATTCTTGGTTAAATTAGTGAAAAATATTTAAAGTGGGAAATAAAGAAAAGTTTTATCCTGTAATAAAAAATTAAGTAATATTTAAAAATGCCTTTAATAACATATTTAAAAATTCTTGCTCTATTGTCTCAAAACTAGTTCAAAGACTTAATTTCATAATTTATGGAGGCAGACATTTTTCTTTTTCAGATGATTTCTCAATCACAATTAGTACTCTGAAGCAGTAGGTGAGAAATAGAGAATTGGACTAGGCTAACATGAGTTTGAGTAAACTCCGGGAGTTGGTGATAGACAGGGAGGCCTGGCGTGCTGCGATTCATGGGGTCGCAGAGTCGGACACGACTGAGTGACTGAACTGAGCTGAACTGAACTGTTCTAGACCAACTTTAGATTCAAAGGGGATCATCATTATACAGTTAGACCCACTGGAAGATTTGTTTTCCTTGCATAGGGAAAAGAAAAGATATGGTTGGAAAGATTGTTTGGGACCAGTTATCCAACAAGATCTTATATTAATAGATAACTTTATGAAAGTGAGATTTGATTCTAAGCAGAATAGGAAGCCCTTGAAGTGTTTAAGAACTTCAAAAAGAGAATTTCTGACTGTACTATGAATAGATGGGAGGGAGACAGAGTGAAAGTAGGAACATCTGCTGGAAAGCTATTTCAGAAATCCAGGTAGAGATGATGGTGGCTTGTATTAGTGTGGAGGCAGATCAGATAAAGAGAAGGGATGGGTTCAAGATATATTTTAGCTTTTATACCAAGTATACTTATGGACAAATCAAAATAATTACACTGGAAAATACAGGTTGAGGCAGAAATAATACAGTTCAGATTTTACTTCTTTAGAGCACTCTTTACATTTTTCTTAGTAAAATTTTTGTATATTAGTAAGTGCAAAATTGCTTTGGTGAGTTAGTCTCAAAGTTTTATGATCTAATATTTTGTTAGAAAATAGATACTAATAATTTGATTACCAAATTTATGTTAAGTGGGATTTATGGTAGCATAAATAGTTTAAATATACAAATATGTTATATTAGCATAAAAGAAATCATATTTGCTGGAAATGTTTTCAAACTTTCATTCTCTTCTGATATCAATCATTACTTTCCACTGGAGCCTTTGTGTATTCTGAATGTCTGGAAGCCAAAATATTTTGTTTTAGCTCCCACTCTATGGTATTTCCCAGCTGTGTACTTATATGGTATAATAAAAGGATTTAACAATTGGGAAATAGCAGCTGCATTTGGAAATTCCCTTTTGTGCTCCCTTTTCATTTGATAGATTCAGTAATGTATAGCAAGTGTAACATCAGACCTGTAATGACTTATACCCCAAGGATCATATCACTGACCAAGTTTTCTCAACCAAGCAAAGGAAAACAATAGAAGGATTTTAGGTTTCTGGACGGTCTTGCAAACCTATATAGAGAGAATATGAGTGCTGGGGTATGGTAACTGTGGTTAGAGTAAAATTTAATAAACACTTTGCCTCATTCTACATTCAAGTAAATTAAATCCAGAGTAGTTGTTATGAAGTTAAGTGAAACTTGTAATTCTCTTCAGTGGATTGTGTTTGTTATACATTGTAATTGAACCTCGTAAAACCAGCATGGAGCAACAGGAAACAACAGAGTGTCTGGACTGGAATGGGTGAGGGAGAGAATGGTATGATATCAAATCTAGGAGGCAGGAAGATGACCAGTACTATGGGGTATCATAGGCTACAGTGAGGTGTTTGGTTTACTTTACGTGAAGGAGGAAGCCACTGGAAGATTTTAAGTAGGACACTACCATGATTTGGTTTATTATATTTTGAAAAGATCATATTAGCGGCTGTGCACAGAATGGATTGCAAGAGATGACACCAGAAACAAGGGCACTTATTAAGAAAACTGTTGCAGCAGTGCAGGTGAGAGTTTGATGATGAGTGAAAGTGGGGGCAGTTAGGGAGGCCCTTCTTTGAAGAGTTCCATAGAGTCTGAAGATGACAAGACTCACACAGAGGGTGAGCAGAATATTTTATGTAGTATACACTTACGTAGAAATTTAGTCAATAACATTTTATAACACAAAGTAAAGTTGGTGAGACCCAGGGTGTGGGGAAGGTTTAGGCAATGCTCCTGCACCAAGAGTGTTCCTTGTGAGGACAGAAGCTTTTTGCCTAACAAGGAGCTGTTTACAGGTAACTTCTGGGGTAGGTTATGGGAATGTGGTCTAGATACCAACATTATCTCTTATAAGATCCCCAAAGTGACAGGATTGTAAGTGGGACCTCCTGCATGCATGTGTACCTGTACACTTGGATGCATTCTCATGTTGTATAGCTTAAGACAAATGGGATTATATGCATTTGGCTTTTAATTACTAGTTTAATTAGGTAGAAATAGTCATACTGGACCCTCAAGTCCAGATATCAGAATTCCTTATTTTTGAGACCTACTTAAATTCCTGAAAGTTTTATTTCCTAGATAAGTTTTAAAAGTAATTTTCCACTATAAATAAAAGATGTCAATAAATCCTTAGTTGCAGTTTAAAGAAAATAATAGGCATATTGAGATATTTAATCAATAACTGTTGGGAATAATACTTCCCTGCTTGCAAACAATTTCTCCTCACTGTCTTTCTTGCTTTCAGTTCAGTGAAGTTGCTAATCAACTCTGAAGTATTCTATATAGTTCATTTTGAGTCGTAAAAATTCTGGTGTGGATTTTGTACCTTTTCTAGAATGGAGCTGTTGCCATTACATGATAACATAGTCTAGGAACTTTGAGTGAGGATTTAATCCTTTCCAGTCATGCTTTATATTGTGACAGACTTTTAGACTTTTAGAAGGTTTCTAATTTTGTTACCTTTTAAAAGATTTTTAAAACTTGAATTGTCATGCTTTTGGTAAGATTTAGTAACTTAAGGTAGTAGGCAGCACTCAAAATTTATTTCCTCACTTTTATTGAGACTATGCTTTAGAAAATGTAGTGAAACCCACTAGTTCACCTAGTTCAAACCATATGTGAGGTTTATATTCATCTATTTGGTACCTGATTGGGTCTATGAAGCGCTGGGGAAAAAAATCCATACACTAGCAAGGTTTAGACTTGAGAAATTTAGTTATTAGCACTCTCATTTTGGGATTTTGAATATCCATTCACTTTAAGTAAAATTCAAAGTTAGACTTCTGTTAATAAGTGAAAATGTTCCTCCTTGCCCCCTGAGTTGTGAAACAACATTTTTGAGGAAGCCCTATGGAAGATTTCACATTTTCTATAACTCTGAAACTGTATTAGCACACTGTATTGTCCATCTTTAAATGCATCTCAGAAACATAATGAAAGAAATTTACTTACCGTTTGGACCAAAAAATAAAGCTATATTTTATGTCATGGTGTGAATAGTGAAATAGACAACTAATGCTGTCTTTATATATATATAAAGACCTTTATATATGCACACCTTGTTTAAATACACTGTTTCATTCCTGCTATTAAAAATATATATTTAATACCATAAAGCAATTATCCTTCTTTTAAAAAATAAATAAAAATTTTAAAGTATATTAAAAAAAACTTTCCTAAAGTGACTCATTTAAACAAGATGATTATCAATACATCTTTCTAAATATACTTTTTGGAAAAGTTTTCTTACTTAGCTATTATCAAAATCTTTATCAAAAATAGAAACATTGACATGCTCTGGAATAGCTGGCTTTTCCCCCCTTGGGCAAGAAGGAATCAGGTATGCATGCTGATTAACACACTCCAGTCATTACCGTGTGATTATGTGGGCTGCATATTGAGCACCTGCCAAAATATAAAAACCCAGTACTTTGCTACATCTGTGTTTTGAATTTCTTTTGTATTTTGATAGTTCAGGGAAAATCAGACCCCTGTATATTTTTTTTCAGTATAATAAAATTGTGTGTATATAATGTTTTCAAGGAGTTGAGATATGCTATGTTTATTTTTATGTTAATCTTTAAGACTGTATAAGATCCAGTGACTGAGGTTTGCAGAGCTCT